TAACGGGACACAAAGGGCAACATCTCTGAATGTCATGTGTGTCCAGCAAGCCAGCTTACTTAGTATACAGGCCTATTTTTAGTAGCACCCAAAAAAGCCTGTTACTATATCACAGCAACTCATTTGTCCCCATTTGTTTACCGGGCTGTGTCCCATGCTGGCTCCGGAGTAGCCAGACAAAAGCAGGGACCAGGTCTCTTTCATCTCTAGACCACACCAGGCCTGGCACAGAACCAGCATGCCATGTGTTTGCTGGAAGGATGAGGTTTTCATTGTTCCCTGCAAATGGGCTGCTGAGAGCAGGTGTTCTCAAGCTGAAGCGTAGGTGACATCAGGGACCGGTCCGTGACTCCCTCGAGAAATGGTGTAAAAAGCTCATGGCAGTGGGAGTCGGGGGAGGCAGTGCCCTGGGGCACACCTGTGGATGGTGTGTGTGTGTGTGTGTGTGTGTGTGTGTGTGTGTGTGTGTGTGTGTGTGCTCTGTGCCCAGGACATATTTGTGTTCACAGAGCCACTTCATGCGTACATGTGTGTGTGTGATTGTGTGGTGTCTGTGGTTTTCATCAGTTTTTCAGAGAGTGTGGACCCAGCAGTGTAAGAAGGGTGGAAACAGACTGAAAAGCAGCAAGCAACAGTAAGGGGCCTCTCTGCTTGACCTCAGGAAAGTCAAGGCTGGTTCCGTACACTTGAGCCAAAAGGGAGTCAGAAGAGGAAATGCATCAGACCCACTGAGGCAAACTGATAGTGAGCGCCACCAGCATTTCTGTCCCCAACCCAGCACCCAGGGGATCTGATACTTCTGGAGATGACCATGGACTCCTGGGGAATTCCAAATTAGAAGGGGGAAGAACCCATTGAACCTCAAGAATGCCCAGGGCACTCTCACGGAAGGGGCCACCAACAGGGTGTGATCGGCAGCCGCCAGGATCCTAGAACCCTTAATCCTATTCTCTACATGGGATAAACTTGGACAGCTCATCCACTAGAAGAGAAATGAGAGCGCTCTTGACACATCTCCGGGCAAATAAATTTGGAAACGCATCTGGACAAAGTGCATAGTTTCTTGGATACGGTTTACCAAAACTGACTCCCGTAGAAACAGCGAACATAAATAGGGCTGGTGAGATGGCTCTGTAGGTAAAGGGGCCTGCCACCAAACCCAGCCACTGAATTCAGTCCCTGAAACCCGTGTGATGGAGGGAGAGAACTGACTCCCACCGGTTCCTCAGCATAGGAAAGAGAGAGACCTAAGGCCAGCTGCACACGCGAGAGAATCACGGGAAAGCATCACCTTGGAATATGCTGGGAAAGACCTTCATATGCAATCAAACTGATATTGCCACCACAAGAAATACTGGGAATGATGAATGCACTTATATACTTACACTTAGATGACCTCTTACTATATAAACCAATATGCAGCAGGTTTAGGAATAGGCTCATATTTTCTCATAGACACTCACATGCCTTTTATGCCAATCAAGTCCCATTCCTAATAAAACTCCCAGGGAAACAGGGATGGATACCTTCTGAGCATAATAAATGCATACATCTGAAGCCTACACGAGCATTTGAGGTCCTCCTACCATGGTCAAAAGCAAGGCAAAGGGGAATGGAGAAGCTGGTTCATCGGTTAAGAGTGTCTGTTCTTCCAGAGGACCAGAGTTCAGTTCTCATCTACACTGGGTGGCTCACAACCAACTGTAACTATCTCCAGAGGATCCAACGCCCTCTTCTGGCCTCTACAGACAACTGCAAGCACATGGTGCACACACCCACACATAGTTACATACACATAGTTAAAAATAAGTTTTTTAAAGAGACAAAGATGATTGGGTGGTGGTGGTGCACACTTTTAATTCCAGCCCTGAGGAGGCAGACAGGAGGCAGATCTCTGTGAGTTCAAGACCAATCTGGTCTACACAGTGAGTTCCAAGACAGCCAAGCATAGCTAAAGCTACATAGAGAAACCTTGTCTTGAAAACAGAGAGAGAGACCTACATGAGGAGGCAGACAGGAGGCAGATCTCTGTGAGTTCAAGACCAATCTGGTCTACACAGTGAGTTCCAAGACAGCCAAGCATAGCTAAAGCTACATAGAGAAACCTTGTCTTGAAAACAGAGAGAGAGACCTACAATCTCCACTTTGATGCAATCTTTCATTTTAGGTATCAGCCAATGCATTCAGGAAGACGACAAGAGGGGCCCGTTTAGGGACACTAGCATGGGCAGAACTGGGTCTCGCCTGGGGTAGCCCCAAGATCGAACATGGTAAGTGCTTAGAAAATTAGTTGGATGAGTGACAGAAGAACGGCTCATGCTGACCGTGAAAGAAAAGGTTTAGTAAATGCTAGAAACAAAACCCGCAGTGGTTAATTTCAGTGGATTAGTTCACCCAAAGTGCACTGCGGAATAGAACTGCAAACTAGGGTCTAGAAAGAGGTTAAATGGCTTGCCCTAGCCCACTCCTCCTGCCTTCAGTCCCTCGCTTGCCGTGGCCCGTGGACCAAGTGCCTCCCACGCCACGCAGGGGATGAGAGAAAGGCCTCCCAAACGGTAGATCAGCGCCTAGGCTCAGACTTCAGCTCTGCCATCGACCGGCTCTGCTTTTTCCAGAAACTTACTCTACCTCTCTAGGCCTTCGAATTCTCCTCTGTAAACTAGGAGTCAAAAACCATGCCTGCCTGCTAGGGTGAGAGGTATATCCCATGGACCAAGGCAAAGTTCTGACCTCCCAAATGCCTTCACCTGTTTTCATCAGCATCCATCTCGTTGTTGACCCTTTTCCTCCTGTGGATTTTACCAGGCTCGTGGCCAGCTGACTCAAGGCATATCATTAGAACCAGAGCCTAGTATCAAGATGAAGGTCAGCTTAGCTCTCAGGGACTCCCACTATGAAGGAACGGAGAGGGGAGACCCCCAGAGGTGACCCCACGACTGTCGTTACAGTCCCTTCTGAGACGCTTGCCCCCCCCACACACAGAGGCCTCACCTTCCCAACAGATTCCCAGAGCATCACTCGCTGCACCTGAGCAAGGGCCTCACCTAGTGACTTTCCTACGAACGCAATCTGGAAAGGGGTCACCAGGAAGAAGCTCACAGGCCTTTCCCCTGCAGGGAAGGTCGGGTCAACAGCAATGAATCAGGCTGAGAGTATGTTCCCTTGACATAAGAAGAGAATGGCCCCACACTCCCGTGATCTCCCTAACACCTCTAGCCTGATCTAACCATGAGAAAAACATCAGAAAAAAAACCCAAGTTAAAACACAGTGGCATTGGCCTGTGACCCCGGAAGATGCTGTGGCGAGGAAGCTGTCTAGTTCCAGGACAGCCCAAGTTACATGATACCCTGTCGCAGACATAAATTAAACAGGCTGTATATAACATATCTATAGTACCTATTTCTAACACAGTATTTCAAAGGCTGTTAACACACACACACACACACACACACACACACACACACACACACACTGGAAAAGCAGACTTTTCTTAATGACCAAGCATCAGTATCAAGTACATATGCCCTGTTTATGCCCCAGGTCCATAATAAGAGGGAAGTGGGCTACTGAGTTACTATCATAGTACTTCTATAAATGAGAAACTGGAACCCCCAAAATAAAGTTTATTATTAAAACAACAACAACACAGGTTACTAGGCTTTCCCATGGTCATTAAGCTGCCCATCTGCTGGCCACTGCGCCCTACTTGCCAAGAAAAACTATAAAAAGCACCTCCCACCAGATTTGGCTTGGAAACTATTTCCCCGGAAATCCTCACCCTCCACCCTTACCTGAGAGAGAGAGAGAGAGAGAGAGAGAGAGAGAGAAACTGTGAACCTGAGAGAGGTGTGTGAATTCCCCACCAGACGTGACTTTAATCTTAATGAACACAGAGACTACGGATACATGTGGATGGTTTAGATCCCTAATTGTCTTTTCAGGGGAAAGCCGTCTAAAACATCAACAATGCCTATTCCACTATAGTTAGCACCTCTAGCCAAAACACACAAAATTGTCACCAAGCAGGTCTCTTCCCAAAGGTTGCCCGCGAGGACCCTGCTGGGGGAAAGGTTAATGCCACCATGACTCTCAATATCTTCCAGCCAGCATCGCGGCCCTTCCTACGCACCAGGCACCAGATGCCAGCAAGCCTGGAGCCATGGGGGCATCTGGAAGCCGCCAGCAGGCTTGCTCCTGGGCCTGCCACAAGCGCGGGCTGAGCTGCTAAAATCAGGAAACCTGGTTAGGTTCTTGTTTGCTCCCAGACAAGCTTTCTAACTAGAAACCATGAGGCTGGACGAAGAGCCTCCTCCTGCTTCTGACAGAATGTTGCTGAACACCCAAGTGACAGGGGCATTTGGCCAACCCCCAGCAACAGAGGCCAAATGAAGGCACGGGCTGAACTTAGGCCGAAACAACCTGTGTCCTCCTCACCTAGGTGCCCCCCGTCCACTACAGCATGGGTGAGGGGCTGGTGGAAGATCACTTAATAAGTGCGCTGGTCCACCTGCGGTGACTGTAAACTCAGAGAGGAAATGGGCCAGCCTCCTGACACCCAAGGCAAACCACCCTCTAGCATGAGACACGCAGCCTCTTCCTTAGTTTCAACACAAAGTCCCCAACAACCGGCTCCCAGGATGCCACAGGGCCACTGTCTCACAGCCTCAGGGGTAAGATCTTCAGACTCTAGCAGCCTCCCTGACATCCTTGGGCACACGCCCCTCCACCGACTCTACTCTCAGAGGGCAAAGACAGCACTTCCACTACCTCTGGGGTGTCCTGGAGACCTGACCATCCTTTGTTATACTAACAGCGACCCTCAGTGGGAACTGAAAACCGCCCCCTCAGGATGGTTGCAGCCACTGTCTCTGGCTAACCTCCCTGTCACCGGGGCAGGGGCAGTCCCTGCTGCAAACTCCTCAAGAAAGCCCTGCACCGGGTCCCCAGGCCCAAGTCCCCGCCAGGGCTCGAGGGCCAGGCGGGGGGAGCCTCCACCGACCTTCGATGGGTTTCAGATAGTCATAATCGAAGAGGATGGAAAAGTCCAGCTCGTCCTGGGGACTGCCCCCAGGCTCGTGGCCTGGGCCGTCCCCACCGTCGGGGTCGGGCTGCGGCTCCGGGGCGTCCATGGCTGGGGCAGCTGGGCTGCGGGGCCTGGTAGGGTCGCAGTGAGGGGAGGAGGCTCGCGCGGACCGGAGTCACCGTGTCTGGGGCGCACGCCGGGGCCGGGGATGACTCGCGGCGCAGTGGGTCCTGGACGCGTCCGGGGAGCGGGTGACGGCGCGAGCTTCCTGCTCAAGGCACCTGTTGCAGCCTGGAGGGGGCGGGGGGGGGCGGGACGGCGGTGGCTGGCGGGGCGGGGCGCCGCCCAGACGGGGAGGGGCACAGCCCGGTCTGGCCTGAGCGACAGGCCCAGGCAACTTCTGCTTCACCTGCCACCGTCTGACCCAGGGTCCCGCCAGAAGCTGCTGCTCGCGAGCTCTACCTTAGGGACCACTCGCTGAGCCTTTTCTGGTTCCTCTCCTTCGCGGGGGAGGGACGCCCTCTCTTCTCTGGCATGCCCACAGCTGTGGTGCTGTTCCAAGTCTCTGATTTGCAAGCCCCGACCTCAATTGACCAGGCCTGGGCCATCTACCCGCTGCCACCTGGCGTATAGAGCCACTGTAGCCCTATTGGGGCAGATAAGGGATAAAGATCAGGACCCATTTTGACCACCGGGAGAGGACTCGGTACCAAGGGGAAGTGACGCGCGAAGAGTTTGATTGATGATGATCTGGGGACCCTGTCCTGACAGTGAGAACAGGAAGTGGTCTGGTGTGTGGGAGGTAGGGCTGACAGGTAACTCATACATCCGCCTGATGAAAACTGTAGATTACCTGGCTCCTCCCCATGGCTTTTGGTATCGTAAATCTGGGTTCAAGCCCAGGAATCAAATTGGATCAAGCCCCCAAGATGAAGATGTGAAGGCTGCTGAACACAGCAGAACCCAGGGCCACCCTCCAGGAAGCCTCTCAGCTTATAACCTCTCAAACTGAGAGAGTAGGTAGCAGAGCAGAGCCGGGCAGTGGTCCCCACGCCCCTGGCAGTGGTCCCCGGTGCCCCTGGCTGGTTACAGCCACCAGGACAGCTTTATAAAGGCCAAATCTTTACATGGGGCCACATGTGAGGAGGTGATTAAGACTTCAGGAAATCAAAAGATCAGAAGTCGGGGGGGGGGGGGGGGGGAGGGCGCTATGGTCCTGGTCACAACCCAGGCTTGAGGACAATGACTATACTGCTGCAGCATGGACTAGGAGGAAGGGGGCAGGGGGCAAGCACTCTTCAGGGAGAGCCACTTCTCCACCATGGAGGTCTGCTTTCAAGCTCCCCATCATTGAACTGGGCGTAGTCAGGCATGGACCCGAGAGGCAGAGGTGGTGGGTGGGATTGCTTTCAGTTTGAAGTCTGCCTGGGCTACGGAGAGAGAAACTCACCACCAAACACAAACAAGCGGCGGCTCTCACCACTCTCCTCACAAATATTTGGTGAGCTCCTGCTGCAAATGCTGAGAGGCGGCCGGGCAGAGCATCCTGGAGGTCACTCCTCTGCCCTCGACAACTCTCAGTCGGGTTTCCCAACACCCAGGCACACACCGGAATCTTGTAGAGACCAGTTACAACATTCGGCTCCCCGAGACCCACCGGGCACCAATTTACAGGCACCAATTTAGCCAGGATCCTATCCACCTGCCCAACCGAGCACCGCCCGTGAATATGCCACGGTGCACAAACTGTGATTGAGGGGATCGGGACTGGTCCACACATCACGGATAGTTGGCCCATGGGGCCCCTGGCATTCGCATTCTTAAAACAGCTCTCCATACACTTCCAAATGAGAGACCCGAGGTGGCAGCAACTGGTTTAGACTCCAGCCAAGACCTTGCTATCCATATCTCTAGAAGGAAATAGATCTTCATGGGTCCTTACAATGGGGGGCCCAGGCCAGACTCTGATATTTGGCCAAGGAGAAACAAGAGAAACAGTGTCATACAGATGAAGAAAAACTCTTGTGTTCCCACCCCCCCCGCCCCCCCGTCCTTTCCCATCCCTCTACCCTAGGGGTTCTCAACCTTCCGAAGTCTTTGTACCTTTAATACTCCTGTTGCAGTGACCCCCAACCATAAAATTATTTTTGTTGCTACTTCCTAACTGTAATTTTGCTGCTGTTATGAATCATAAATAACTATGTTTTCCAATAATCTTAGGGTAACCCCTGTGGAAGGGTCGATATGTGCAAAGGGGGTCACGACCCACAGGTTGAGAACTGGTCTGCCCCCCCCTCCTGTGGTCACTGAATGTTTCTGATCCAATGGGTATTCATTGCCTGTGCCAGCCAAGATTCCTTCCTCTGTTCTGGTAACAGTTCCCCGGGTCGCTCATCTGGGAACCTACTTTCTCGCCAGTGTTGGGAACCGAATATTAGGCTGTTATTCCATGATTGAACTATATACTCCAACCCCTGGGAAGCTGCTCTTAAGACGATCTTGGTAGAAATATCAACACAGTTGTCCCATTGTGCCTGATAAGAGAATGAAATGCCTAGACCTGGCCAATCAGAGAATCTTATCTCCAAAGACCTATGAGATCCACTAAGGTGGAGGCCGTGGCCACCTCATTCACGGCCTTATGTACAGTGGTGTATTCATGAATGGCATTTGGGTGGATAGTTGGATAATTGAATAAAGAGATGTTTTGGACAGATGGATGGTCTAGGTGGGTAGATGTGTGGATGGATGGATAGGTGGATGGATGGATAGATAGATATAGATAGATAGATAGATAGATAGATAGATAGATAGATAGATAGGATATATATTTAGATGAATAGATGGGAGGAATAATATATGGGCAGGTAAATGGGTGGACAGGTGGAGGTGGGAGGGAGGGAGAGAGGAAGGGAAGGAGGGAGGGAAAAAGAGAGGGAGGGAGGGAGGGAAAGAGAGAGGGAGGGAGGGAGGGCATGACTCTCTTTGTATGTATAAGTTTCTCTAACTATCCTCCTCTCTAAGGCTTAACCTGGCCACCCAACTGCTAGGACAAGAACCTACTTCCCTCCAATCTGGTCTTGCTGTCTACACTAACCAAGGGAAGATGGCTTCTCCACTGAAGGAGTACTTTCCGTGCACCAGCCTTGGAGAGAGCCATCCCCCGCTTTCCACCCAGAACACTGACTTGGCTGTCTTTCAGAAAAGCAGGCATCTCCTCAGGCCATCCTAGATCTGAACTCGGCACCAAAGCAGTTTATTACAGGGAGGGTTCAGACCAGGCCCTGACCCAGGCGATGCTCTTGTGGGAGCTGTGGAGCAAGGGGGTCTTCTTCTCCCAAGGCTAGCTTGAAGGCTGGGGCCTTGGGCTGAAGAAATGGATAGGAGCAGCAAACCCCCTTTCTGCACTGGAGGCCCCGGGGTGGAGTAGGAGCACAGCTCCATGGCCCTTCTCTTGCTCTGCTGCTGATAATCCTGTAAAGGCCTTTCCACCTCCCCAGCCTCCACAACAGAAGCCCAGGGGGAAGCCAGTGGAGCCACTGGGTATGAAATGTGCAATGGACATTGGTACTGACCGGCCAGGAGTTGAGCTCAATTCGGTGACTACTGAGCCCGATTACAAACACGGATAATGCGGCAGAAGGAAAGAAGGTAAAGCCCTGATCACATTAGGAAACTCTGGTGTCCACAGGGAATGCAGGGAAGCCTCCAGCTTCCTAAAACTGGGACCATTAGGTTGAACAGAAGTTAGCCTAGGAGTCCTATGTATGAAAGCCCCGAGGCAGGAGAATATGAAGCATTGGAGGACACTGCAGGGTCAGATGACAGTCACAGAACAACCTACCATGCCCAGCTCTGCCTCTGGGTCTCTCTGGGGTACGCAGGCTCAGAGAGCCTACTCTGGTGTCTGCAGAGATCTCAAAGTGAATGATGAGCCAAACCTTGATGCTCTGCCGTTTTTTCCTAATCCCCAGGCCACGTGTTGCCCTCCCATCCTGCTTCCTCCTCGTTCCACATCCAGACTCAGAGTCTGAGGGTAGCTCTTTTCCAAACACGTCCCAAACCTGACCATCTCTCACCAACTCTTCCATTGCTCTCCCTGCTCACCATCCAAGGCCCCACCACCTCCATCCCGCATGACCACAGCTGCTTCCTCTCTGGATCTGCTGTTTCCACTTGTGCCTGAACACAGAGCAACAAGAAAGGCTCATTAAAAATATACAGCTGGGGGCCTGGAGCGATGAGTCAGCAGTTAAGAGCACTAGCTGCTCTGCCAGAGGACGTGGGTTCAATTCCCAGTACCCACTGGGCAGCTCACAACTCTCCGTATCTCCAGTTCCAGGGGCCTGACACCTTCACAGACATACATACAGGCAAAATCCCAATGCACACAAAAATAAATAAGTCATACACACACACACACACACACACACACACACACACACACACACACGGCCTGGAGAGCTGTCTCCATGAGTAGAAGCACTGTCTCTCTTGCAGAGGACCTGAGTTTGGTTCTCAGCACCTACATGGTGACTCACAACCACCAATGACTTCAGTTCCAGGTGATCTAACGCCCTCTTGTGGCCTCTATAAGCACTGCATGCACAAGGTGCACACACATACATTCAGACAAAACATTCATACACATAAAAATCAATCTTAAACAGACACATACCTGGGGCTCAGCACTTACGAGTACATACTGCTCTTGCAGAGGACCTGAATTTAGTTCCCAGCACCACATCAGGCAGCTCACAATTGTCTGTAACTCCAGCTCCAAGGGATCTGATGCCCTCTTCTGGCAGGTGCTCATAAACATGTGCCCAGACACACAGACATACACATGTTATTAAGACTATTCCAAATATGTTCATGCATATACATGTAGCAACCCTCTAGTAGCTTCCTGCCGAGTTTAGAATAAAACAGGCCAAATTCTAGGTCAGCTCCCCTAGCTGTCTTGAGTATTGTACCCAATCTCTCTCTCTCTCCCCCTCCCTTCCTCCCTCCTTTTCCTCTTCCCCCCTCCCCTGTTCTTTCTGCCTATGGATCAGCCACTTGCTCTGAAAAAGGCCCAGCATGACCCCACATAGGGCCTTTGAACCTGCTGTCCCTCTGAAACCACCCTTCTTCAGCAATGTCTTAGCTCAGACATCACCGCCCCAGAAAGACTCTCCCTGTCTGCCCCTCAAAGGAATGACACCCTGGGCACTCTCGGTCCCTTCTCATGTTTCCTGTCACTTACCCCAACCCTGTGGCATTTTTTATG